CTATTTCGAGCATCGATTTCAACACGAACACCGCGTAAGCCCGGCACTCGTAGCTACCGTGCTGCATTACTCTCGTTAATGACGCTACGAAATCACCATTCCTCCCCATAAGATTCTTGAGAGCAGCTTCCGAGAGTTGGAGATTGTAGAGAGTGTTCAAAGCCTCGTCAGCCGCCGTGGAGTCGCATTCGCTCACTATCGAAGCCAAGAACTCGACGGCACCGGAAGACTCGATGCACCTCTTGTTCGTACCATTCTCGGAAGCGATAGATCGAAGCCGCCGGAGGCACTTCATCCGTTGCAACGGCGACTTGGCATCGTCGAGGAGTTTTGAAATCTGAGCTTTTCCGATGGGTGGCTTCGGCGTCAGGATTCGTTCAATGCCATGGCTAGCATTTAACGTGCACCAAGATTGAATCAATCTTCTCAGGGTATGATTGGGGACAAGTTCGCAATCCGAAATAGCTTGTTTCGTAACTGGACAGGCAGTGTTCTTGCCGGAAAACAGCCATTTCTCGATGCTTTCCCTGTCGTACGTAATCCCTGTCGAAACCGTGACGGGATCCTTCATGATCTCCAGAGAGATTGGGCAGATAAAAAATGGAGGAACATCGATTTCATCCATTTTGAAAACAACCCAAAGAAAAAAAAAGGGTTAAGTTTGTTTAAGAAAGACCTGAGAACTGGATTGATGAACTTTGAAGAGGAAGATGAAGTTAGAAGGGTTAGATTATAAAAGCGTTGCATGAGAAAGTCAAAACAAGAAAGGAGCTGACTTTTTCCATGCAATTGAAAGGCTCAAGGTTGACGACTATATAGTATGCAATATGTATTACTACATTTAAAGGCTAAAGAATATGTACAACCAGCGCTTCGAAATTTCAGGTACAATTCGGATTAGGTCGAGTCGAGTGTAAATTTTAATATGAAAACTCGATCCGAGTTTTAGGGTCAAATGGATCCTTCTAAACTCGGGTCGAGACGGGTATAGATGGAGTAATTTAATTTTGGATTTGGATGAACTAAAAAATGAACTTTATCCATCAACATCCATAAATGTATGAGATACTTTTTGCCATTCTCAAGATTTTTATTAGTATTTTAAGTCATGTTAATTTAAACTTAATTAAATTATACTTTCACTCTTCCACATTTTTAGATTAAATATTTAATAAATACATATTATTTTAAATATAGATAATTTAATCCTGTCTTTTAACCATGCTGAAGATACAATTGAAATTAGCATATACTTCAATTTTTATACGCAAACAATAATCAACTAATTAATATATGACATACTCAAATATAATCACTGAATTTATTAAATTGTACCACTAGTGCCATACTTATCCAGGGAAAAATCATTGGAGAATATGTTTTATATATCTATAAGCACGAATCAAACGATTTCAATAACTAAAAAATTTATTCCAATTTTTTTGAGGTCTCAGAAACTTGTCATTAATCAATTGAGTACTGATTCAGTTAAAAAATATTAAAAAATTTTAAAAAAATATTTCTATAGTGGTACTTTTGGTTTATTTCTCGTACATTTATACAATTTATAAAAAGATATTTAAACGAAATCCACTCGATTATAATTAATTATCTGGAATAATAAAAACTAAATTGTTGGTTTGGTATTGGTTCGATGTGTTGAGAGTATCTGGATCAATCAACCTCGAGCTTTTTTACTTGGAAAACGGAGAACGCCGTCAATGGGCGACAAATTCAGAAAGGAGTGCCAATTAGGCTGCGTAATCAACCGGGAATGAATAATTCAATGAAAATGACGATCATTATTGTGAATTAATCTTATAATTAATGTAACTAATAAGAGTCTGAATGTTAGGTTGTGAATAGGTAAAGAAAAGTTAATAACGTGATTAATTCTATGTGGAATTAAATTGTAAAGAAATGATACGAACTAAGTGGTTAAAGAATTTATTTTATTTCATTAAGGTCTCGGGTACGAACACTGCATATGTCAGGGGTATCAACTTTTAGTGTATCTTTGCACTATTTCATCTTTTCGAATCTAATTGATTTATGTTCGCCGTGCTTGCTAAGAGGATCGAGATACCGATATCATTCGAACCCCAAGTGTTGATGATACTTGAACATTATTATGCAGCAATCCTTGGTAATGGCATCCGAATCAATACAGCCAAAAAGGTTTACATCCCAAATCAAAGCGGCAAGTCAGTTCCGATCCTGGCGACGATATCCGATAAACATTTCCGGCCCTTCACAGAAAATATATAGAGAAATACCTGCTGTGAGAACATTCGATCTCCCACTGTCTTTGATGGTGATCCGAGTTACAGTAACAGGACGAATCTGATTGATTCTACGTGCTCGATCAATGGCCAGGTCTTCGGTGGTTGGAACTACCATTAAGATCACCTGCAAGACAGCTCCTAAGAGTAGCTTTAAGTAGTTCTTTACATTCAGGTGCAGGGCAGGAATTATCATCACCAGTTGGATATTTCGACAGGCACAGGTGGCAGAAAACATGACTGCAAATGGTAGCAACAGCATGGAAAGGAGATACTATGAGAATGGGATTGAAAAATATTTCAGATCTACTGCCTATACCAAAGAGGACTAAAAATGAAAAAAGAAAGTTATAACCGAGTGGCAAAAGGAAAAATAATACTTGTAGAAATCCACAGTGCTCATTCAACAATGTTAAAAGGTCTGTTAACGTTTCCAGATTAAACACATTGAGTTGCAACTGCATGACCTTTGGTCTTAAAATCTTAAAAGTTATAATGACAAGGTGCTTGCCAACATTCATCAATATACCATCATACACAAAATACAGAGATGTAATTTCTACTGTAACAACATTCAGATGATGAGGCAATAGAGCCAGATTTAGAAAGAAATATTACGTTCAAGAAAGACTCCAATTGCATACGAGACAGATAAAAGCATACATTTCCAAGAAGTTCAGTAGATTCATCAGAGCAACTCATTTGGAAATGTCATTGCCATGATCAAAACCATGACGTACGCACAAAAGCATCAAAAGAATATTTGCATAATTTTGGTGCAGCATGCCCACAGCTGCATATGCCTGTATGAAATATATATTAAAAGATGAGTAAATGAATTATGACCAAGGTATTATGAATGATATGTTCGCAAACACCAACAAAACTCGAATGCTTGTGCTTAACAATCATTATGGTTTAGTAGAAAAAATATTGAGGAAAGATGTTCAAGAATCCAATTTTCGTTGTAAGGATTACAAAAAAGAAGCTAAAAGAAGTATTATAGAAGCTACCTGTCAGTTTTTATCTAGCAAAATTAATAACAGGCGACCATTGAAATTGGCAAACATTGAGCAGTACATTTTCCCCAACTAACTTCAAGATTCCATGTCCACCTCAGGCTCAAGTCTAAATAGAAAAAAGATTCTAGATGACAAGGGAGAAGAAGCAGTATGTATGTCTATTTTTTTTTTGGTAGAGAATGAGTCCTCAAAGTTGAAGTTTGCGATTGTCTCAGAATTTGTAGAAGGTGGCTGAGGAACTACAGCATGTTGGTTTGTTCCAGGCCAGAAAGTAGGCATGTAAGTAGCGTAGTTGGGAGTGGGTCAACTTTAAAAGAACACCAAATGAATCATCGAAACCCTGATTTCCAAAATTAGATGGCTGCTGATTAGTATCAAAGGTAGGTCATAGCATCGGAGTTGGAACTGGCATCAGAATCAGTAGCATGGTTTTCAGGTGTAACTCGGATGATGGCAAATGAATCAGACAGAACATTCAGCAAGTCTGTTTCAACATTGGTTGAAGCAGAGGGAACAGCAGTAGTAGGGACAGCCGTTGCAGCAAGAACAGTGGTTGGAGCAGTCCAATGGAACTGATGCCAGGAATCTACAACCAAAGCCTTCCCCTCCAGACGGGCCTACTGCCTAACTATGCAGCATGAAATTATCAACGCAATATTTTTTACCATAAGACAATGACATTTTATAGAAATTATCAACGCAATATCTATCGTGCAATGTAATCACATAAAGACAAAGGAGATGCATCCTGTCCGACGCATCATATTATTATGAGAGAGTTATTTCTCAATCAACTTACAACCTGCAGCATAAAGAAGAAAATTACAGCAATCACCCAAAAGAATAAGTTCCACAAAGTGCACAAAAAGGTTAAGTTCCATGTGAGCAAAATCCTTGAAAAAACTCAAAGAAAAAATAAGAAAAAGGATGAAATGCTAATTAATTAATCTCCTTACCATCTGTAACATACAACTTTCATAGCCTTGTCAACCCTCTTAGCATGTTATGAGTTTCCACATCAAGTGTCAATCCCTTTTCAAGCATCTCTTCAGCAAGCCTCACAGTCTCCTCTTTTCTTTTGATCTTCGCATATCCGTTGATCAACATCTTATACGCCATTAAATCAGGTGCAAAACCCTGAGTTGCCATTGAATCAAAGACATCCTTTGCCTTATTCATTTCACCAAGCATACAATACATTCTGATCATTATTCTGTATGTAAATCCATTACCCGTCACACCTTTTTGATCCATCTGCTTCCATACTTCACGAGCTTTATCGGTTGTTCCTTGTGTGCTAATAGCATCCAACAAAATGTTAAAAGTTTTAATATCAGGAACAATATGTTCAGCGACCATCTTAGTAAGCCATCTTGTTGCTTCTTCACATTGGCCTGAATTGCACAATCCATGTATTAAACAACTGTAGGTGACAATGTCGGGTTTTATCTCTCTGAATCATTAGTTCAAACATTGTAATGGCTTCTTTAGTCCTCTTTTCCTTGCATAAACAATTGATTAATGAACTGAAGGTCACAACATCCAGATGGACTCCTTCATTCATCATCATATCAAGCAAACTCATCGCTTCTTCCCATTTCCCTAAATGACAAAATCCGTGAATCAAAGAATTGTAGGTCACGACGTTTGGTTTTACATTTCTTTGACACATCAGTTCCAACATGGAATTGGCTTCTTCGGTTCTCTTTCCCCTGCATAAAGCATTGATAAAAGAATTGAAGGTCACAACATCAGGATCAACTCTTTCATTCATCATTCTATGGAGCAAACTTGTCGCTTCTTCCCATTTCCCTGAATGACAAAATCCATAACTCAGAATTGTAGGTGACAACGTCAGGTTTTACATTTCTTTGACGCATTAGTTCCGACATGGTCATGGCTTTTTCGGTTCTCTTTTCCCTGCATAAAGCATTGATAAAAGAATTGAAAGTTACTATATCAGGATTGACTCTTTCATTCATCATTCTATGAAGCAAACTTGTCGCTTCTTCCCATTTCCCTAAATGACAAAATCCATGAATCAAGGAATTGTAGACGAGGATGTCTGCTTTTACATTTCTTTGACACATTAGTCCCAACATGGTATTGGCTTCTTCGGTTCTCTTTTCCCTACATAAAGCATTGATAAAAGAATTGAAAGTTACTACATTAGGATTGTCTCTTTCATTCATCATTCTATTTAGCAAACTTGTCGCTTCTTCCCATTTCCCTGAATGACAAAATCCATGAATCAAAGAATTATAGGCGAAGGCAACTGGTTTCACACCTTTACGATTCATTAGTTCCAGAATTTCACTAGCCTTCGATGAGTTCCCCTCCTTGCATAAACTGTCTATCATGGAATGAAAAGTTACAACATCGGGTGAAATTTCAGATCCAATCATATTTTCAAAGAATTTTGTGGTCAGTCTCCACTCACCAAACTTGCATAAGGCACAGATTAGCATATTATAAGTGACTACATTAGGCTTTATGCCTCTTTGGGTCATTAAATCGAATTGGGATATTGCTTCTTGGATCTTCCCATCCTTGCAAAGAGGAGAAATAAAAGCATTTAAGGTATACACATTAGGAGAAATCCCCTTGTCAACCATGGCAGCTAATAATCGTTTTGATTCATCCCCATGGCCAGCACTGCAAAACCCATTAACTAACGAACTAAAAGTAACAACATTTGGCTCAATTCTCCGATCTAACATATCTTGAAATATAATCAAAGCCTTATCCATTTGTTTCTCTTTACAAAATCCATCAATAATTGTATTATACCATATCACATTAGGTTAAAAGCTTCCATTTACATTCATCTTTATCAGCAAAAACAACTGCAAGACGACTATTCCCTGAGTTACAAAGTCCCCTGATAATAATAGCATAAGTGTATTGATCATATCGATAACCGTTCTTCAATATTTTCCAAAACAACCCCTTGCCTCAGCAATCTTACCCTCATCAATCAGTCCAAGAAGCAGAGCATTCGTGGTATAATGGTTAGGCTGAAGACCAAGTTTTATAATCATAGAAAACACAGAGAGACCAAAGTCCACTTTCTTCAAATTGCACAAACAACAGAGCCAAATGGTCATTACAAAGATATCAGGCTGGAATTCACTACAGCCCATCATCTGTTTACACACGGAAACAACAAGTGCATAGTGTTTCATCTTGGACAGTGCTCCAAGCAGATGGTTGAAAGTCACAATTGAGGGAAATGGTCTCATCGAAATCATGGAATAGAAAAAACCCAGAGCTCAAGGGATCTCGATTTGCACTTATCTATGACCAATGCCTCGAGATGTGTGGATTTAGACATACTCATTTTGACATATTCATCGGAAGCAGTAGAATAACTGGAAAGGAAACACGAAATGGGCAGCTTAGAGAAAGAAAACGGAAAAGTTTACCACTGAAAGGTAGAATCGAAGCAGGAATTGCGGAGGATATTCTCTTCATCGTATGTAAACCTAGGTCTGCCTTCATCGTCGTAGTTCCCAGACTCCCAGTTCGTAATTTGGGAAGATAATACGAAATTTAAAAATTTATTCGATTTTAACCGTTAATTTGATTAAATTATTATTATTATTATTAGGGTAAAGTATATAAATAGTCTCTAAACTTTTAGGGCGTTTGCATTTTGATCAATCAACTTTTGAAACTTACAATACATTCATCAAACTTTTAGTTCGTTTTTAGTAAAATCTCTATCGTTGCCTCCCGTTAATTTTTACTTACGTGTGACATTTAACTCCCATTAGCCCTTCTTTTTCTTCTTCTTGATCAGTCAAAGCCCATGACTATGAGTTGATTCAAGCCTTAAATCCAAATAAGAAAGAGAAATCGATTCAAGAATCTCAAAAGTTTCCCCTATAAACCCTAAAATTTATCCCTAATTCGACTCAAGTTTTCTCCAATTAAAGATTCACAATTCCCTCTTTCTTCCAACTTCGTTTCCCTCAGGCAAAGCCTTTGTATCAACAAGAGATTTACTCCAATGGATGTTGTAACCACTGCTCCAACTTTTGCCCTTTCTGATACCTTCTCTAAATTGAAAAAACATTTTCCCCGTTTATGACCTAATTGGTATTCCTTTACTGTTATAGGTTGAGTGTAAGAAATTGATTATATTGGCTTATTATGAAATAAATGTTCCAACTTTATATTACGTTAATCTATTTTTATGTGTTATATTTTTGAGTTTCTAGTTTAATTTAAGCTTGCATATGAGGAATCATGGGTTTGTTATATTCTTGTTTACTATTAAAAAAATCAGTTGATTAGGGGTTCAAATCATGGCATTTGCGAATGGAGCAAACTGGATTAGGAGGGTCACCCTCGCTTCTGCAGTACCCGATCTAGATTAGTCGGTCAATAGATCAGATACCAATGATTAATTCAGAAAAAAAAATCAGTTGATTTTAATGCAAAAAAGATCAATCAAATATCAAATTTCTTAAATTTTTTAGTTAATATAATTCTTAAAAAAAATAATTTAAAATTAAATCCTATTTACTTTTAAATTTTATAATTTAATCTTATATAATTATAATATTTTTATTTGTTTGTATTCAATATAGATAATATCTATTCAGTTAATAGAGTTTACGACACAACAACAACAACAACAACAAAACCGTATTCTCATATGCAATGGGATAAGGGGGAGATAGGGTAGTAAGCTGTCCACTAACGCCAGGTTGAGAGCAGCTTCCGTGGAAGACCTCCGGCCATTCAAAAAATTAATAATAAAGATAAAATATAATGCATGCTTAAATAAATAAATAAAATACGTAGTTGAACAATCTTCATATGCAGTCATCATATGCACGTTTGTAATGAGAAGTAATCCCTGCAAATAAACCCCTGCATAAAAATATCTGCATATAGACAGAAACATAAGACCCGACCAAAAATATAAAGATGAAACATGATGAGCAGTATACACAGAATTCAACGATAGCAGGCTTCGAGAAGGGATAAAGTCAAATGGGTTAGAACCTAAACTAAGGGAACACTACTCCGCTACCTTAGTTCTAGGCCTTCATAAATTCCAATGCTAGAAACGTATAAAAAGTACAATTAATGAAATTACTACAAAGACAATAAAAGAAGACTAAGATGATACATCCAATGAATGTGACTCGCCCTACTCGACTACCCTGATCTTGAGTCGCCATAATACTTACAAATGTAATTTTCGTTCAAATCATATCTCTCTCTTAAATTTTGGATAAATTTATATAAATTGTTTGTTCATTAAATATAGCTATCTTTAATCTTTATTATATATTAAAAAATTAATTAAATCTAGAACGCTGATTATTAAAATCACTTATAAATTTGGGGTGAAAGTGTACATGCCACCCCCAAATTTATAGTACCTAAATTTAATTAATAATTCATGTGTTAATTAACACCTAAATTTATAATATTTATGAAACATATTAAAACCAGTGTACCAGCTAAGCACTGTAGATCTGCTTCGAAAGGTGGGATGAAAAATAAAAAGAAAAAATATCAACCTATTAAACAGCGGCGAAACCATAAATTTAAAAATGAAATTTAAATTTTTAATTTTTTTAAAATAACGGGTAAACAAAATGTTTTTTTTTTCTAACTAAATTTAACAATTTTTCTAAAATAATGGGATGCACTTGGCTAGGGATGGGCATGGGTCGGGTTTTTGGTCCACCCGACCCGACCCGAGAGCAAGAGAGTCTCCACCCGAGACCCGACCCGACCAAAACAAGTTTTCACCCGACCGACCCGAATATATGACATAGAAACCCGACCCGACCCGAAATAATAAAAAAATTATTTTTATTTAATAAAAACAGTGGCTTAATTGAAAAAATATATAGAGTGAGGGGTATTATTGTAATTATCCCTAAATATATAGGGTAAAATTATATTTTTTCGGGTCGGATTTTTTCACCCTAAACCCGAACCCAACCCGACCCAAACACCACATAAAAAAAACCCGACCTGAACCTGAAATTTTTTATAAAAAATCGACTCGATCGGGTCGGGTTTAAATGTCCATCCCTACACTTGGCCCTATGGGAGCTTAGTGTACCTGCCACTGTCATTAAATAACCTTAGTAGAGATGATAATGGGTCGGGTTGGATTAAGTTATGTCCGACCCGAATTTGATTTGACCCAAAAAATATATACATTTATCTGATCCTATATGAAGAACATATTTTCTTTATCTGAAATTGATTTAATTCGAATTTTTAGAGTATAAACTTGATCTAACTTGATCTGATGTAAAATAAGGATCAAATTAAAAAAACTATATAGATATTAAATATTGTAGCAATTATCCATAAATTTATATTGAAAAATATACTATTATCCCCTCTATAAAGTTGAGTCATAGGTTTTTCACTCTCCACCCAATATAAAATTTAACTCAAGCCTGACTTGAACTCAATTTTATATCTTTAATTTTATTTAAAAAAAAATAAAAAAAAATTATCCCATTAAACTAAGAGTGATTTTTTTTTGGATTTCTTATGGTCATATGAAGTGAAAATAAGGTGTTTGTTATAGTATTATTGTACGAGGATTTTTTAAAGTCGTTTGAAATACACGAAAACTTCTGAAAGTCATATAAATTACAAGATATATTCTTCATACTTTATGCATACACGATAGCAGAGATAATTAATAACATTCTAGAAGTTGACATATAATCTAGGTGTCTTTCAGAAGTGACACATGATTCAAATAATTTCTAATGAATATTATAACAAACATCCTATTTAATTTTTTTTTGCACTTTGTATGATATTTTTAACATATCATTATAGCAATTTTACTTAAACTAAGGGTTCGTTTGTTTTCACTGAAAACATTTTGTAGAAAATGTTTTCCTTAAAATGAATTACATTTTCTAGAAAATAGTTTTTAGAAAATATTTTACGATGTTTGAAAAATGTTGCGTAAAGAAATTTCCACTAGTGGATAAAATTTAAAAAAAATATTTATTACAAATATTTAATACAATAAATTATATTATTTATCATAAAAACTTATTCTTATCATTATTGAAATATTAGAATAATTTATTCATTATTATTATTATTAAAGTATTATTTTAATAATTTTATAAATAAAAATGTTAAGATTAATACATTCTATTAAAACAAGAATATTATAAATTATATTTTGAAAATTATTAGTTAGTATATTTTAAATATATTTATTAAAATATTATTATATTATTATATTAATATTAAATACATTAATAATATTATTTGTTATTAATAATTTAATAGTATTATTTTTATTAAGTTAATAAATAATATAAAATTTATTAATTTATTATATAATATTAAAAATAAAAATATAGTATCTTATATTATTATAATATAATTTAAGTATATTATTATAATATTAAAAAAATTATTAAATATATTTTAATAATTAATAATTTTATTAAAATGATATTAAAATATTATTTAATATTAAATACATAAAATAAAATCAATTTGAGAATTTATTCTTTGAAGTAAAAAGTTCAGAAAACGACTTATGAAAAATTAATATGTAAGTAATTTTCCAAATGCAAAGAAAATTCTGTTGACCAGAAAAATATTTTACATTGATCGACTAGTTTTCCTCCAATAAAACACTAGAAAATAAAGAACATTTTTCGAAAAATATTTTACGTGATACAAAAATGCCGTAATCACTAATTGATAATGTAATTTACTTTTTAATTCCTTAAAAGATTATGATATATTCTAATTTCAAATTTTTAAATATTGATAAAAACATTTATCTGATTTCGAATCTAGATCCATATTTAATAATTAAAATAATAATAATATTGTTAGCACTCGACGGAAATAAAAAAAATATTTAATGTTTTTGAAGATAAAAGTTAGAATTTTGATTGAATAATTGTTTTTTTTCATTGGATTGATATATCAACATATCATAAAGTGTTAGACAATTGAGGGAAATGGATATAACTTTTTATTCCTCAAGTAAATGTTATAAATTTTTATTTTTTATTTTTTGGATTAATCTAGATGATTATAAGTGGTAGTATATGTTCTAAAAATTTATTTATTTAACAATGAACGTGCACTCGCTGATGCTTCAACTCAAGATCTCCAAAGATAATAATCATCATTTAATTACTAAATTCTTTTGATTTGTACATAATATTTTTTAAATATTAATTAAGAATATTCGTCAGATTTTAAATCGCCTCCATAGTAATATTAATTAAGAATATTTGTACATGAATTTATTTTTAAAGATTATTGTTTTAAACATTAATTAAGAATATTTCTTAAAATTATGCTTTTAAACTATAATTTAACATATTCTTTAATTAAGTACTTGTTTTGTTATTTCATAAATTTGAAAGAGTTGAAATGTTCATTTTATCCCAAAATTATATTTGTTATCACTTTTGGTATCTAAAATAAAAAATTTATCATTTGATACCTAAA